TTTCATTTTGATTTCAGAAAATTCTGTTTGGATACTTTTTTATTTTGTTTATTAATCATAGAAAATTTAATAATGAAATGAGCATGAATTTAATATATAGTATTGTGATAAGAGACATTAATTTGCCTTTTGTTTGTTTCTTTTAGAAAGCTTTAAAAAAGTCCTTACTTTTACAATTGTATTACATCGCATACTTATAGATTGTACATAACCCTAAAGTATTTCTTAGTTGAATTTTCATATAATTAAAATAAAAGAATTAAAAACAGCAACCCTCAGTCCTGGAACCCTTTCTCTTAACAGTCGGTCGGTTTTCATTCACGCGCCACTCCAGCTGAAATACATGCGGCGCCACTCTTTTTATTGTTAAAAAAAAACACAACAAAAATACTTCAGAACAAAAATATATGTCCTTTGATTGGAACAATTAACTAATTGTAAATATAACAGCGTTTATAATGTATATAATAAGCTAAGTTTAATTATGTTTAGAACGGTTTATTTGAGATAAATATCTGATTTATGTTTAATGACGTCATTCCGTTATGCACTTCTTTTATGATGTTTTTAGTGCTGTTTCCGAGTACAACTCGCGTGTGGCCGTCGTCTCGGCCAATTGCGGACGTTTATTTGTCTGTCACGCGACATTTCTCCTGTCCTCGAGACGATTTCGTCCTTTAATTGCAACTTTCGATAGCACTGATTGGATCTTATCTTATACCTTGAAGAACTTATATAGTTCTGATCCGCAAATATTTAAAATTAGTTCTGTTCTTAGTTCGTTATTAAATACGCTGTCATTAAAGTCAACTGAGATAGCAATTAAGTTATCATAAAAAGATAATTGCATCAGAAGGCGTGTGCGACACTATTTTGTTTCATGATTCATAAAGAATACTCAGTTCACACGTGTGATAACTATTGTTAATTGATCACATTTCTTGTTCATTTATATAGAATGAATTATCTTGAAGTAAAAAGCACTCGCACGCGACGTTAAGGTTTCGCTTACAAAATAGAAACATACAGGAATATTAAAAAAAAAAAAAAAAACAACAACAATACAAGAATAACGTACGATAAGTTTGAACTACTGCGACATAAATAACTGGGCTGAAAAGATTTATTGTTGCTTTTTGTTCTGGCAATGTATACGGTGACGCGCAAAAAATAGTATAAAAATGTTTTAACACTTCACATGTATGAGATCCGTGAGAGCTGCGTTGTTACTAAAGAGGTTTTAATGAGACCATATACGTAATACACTCATGTTTTATCAAGAATTATAATAATTGATCTCACAAAATTCCTTGTAGTAATAAATTGGTGTGGTTATTTACGTAAATATTGACGGTGTTAGGCTGTTACAAAAACAAGTGACAAGTAACACCGATCAGCCAATAAAGCCATTTTAGGTTTTTGCTTGATACTGGCTATATATTTTTTTGTTAGGTAATTGGTTGCTAATTCTTTAGGTTTGTCGTGCACTGGTACGCCTGTCTAATTTATCTGATCCCTATCAATTGATTTACAGCTAAGCGGACTTTGTACAATTTCTCTCGCTCTCCTGCATACCGTTCGTTCTTGTTTTATTACGACAATTCGAACAGTGCCGAATTTATTTTTTTATTATTCGATAACTCCTCCGTCCGCGTCGAAATTATTAAGTTGTGCAACGAACAACGATGCCTGAAAATGATTAGATTTCATATCTCTTATATTTGTTGCTTTTAAATTGCTTATAATGTTAATTAACAAGACAATAGTCTATAGAAAAGTAATTGAAAATGGAAAAAAATATATAAAAGTTATTCTGTTACTGAGCCGAAAGCGTTAAAATAGCTATAATTTTGCTTTAATTACACAGACTGGCACAAGGCTTTCTAGCTGACGGAAAAATTATGCGCATCGGGCGTGCATTTTCCATGGCATTGTATGTGAGCCTGTTATTTTCCCATTTGAGTGGTTTTATGGCGGCTGTGGCCAGATGGCACCAGATAGGACCGTACTAGAAACCTGACGTAATTATTCACACGCACTGAGAAACATAACAGGCCTTCATCATTTCAATGCATACTGTTTTTCACTATGCAATTTTATTATATACTTTGAAAAGGCAGCGTTATATTTTTACTATAAAGATTATATTAGATTATATTAGTAAGGTTTTCATGATCACTAAAATGTTTTGTAACGAAAATAGGACCCTATTATGGCAAATACATAAATATAATTCAGTTTTAATTTGAATCGTGCCTCCACAAACATCTATAAAGTTTAATTTATCGTCTCTAAATGTTACAGTCGGTGAGATTTATTTAAGAATGTAGTGCAAGGCTAGGATCTATAGCATATAGGTGAATGTGAATTGCACACGCGATTCGACCCTTACGGTAAAAGCTTGATGTTTTATAACTATTCATTGAATTTCTGTTTCAACCACATTTGAAACCAAAAAAATATTAATGAATCAATTCTAACTCAAAAATACTTGTTTAACATGAATTATATTTAGTTGTTTCGACTTATACCGGGTTTCCCAGGTCGACATATTGGAGTTAAATTTTCAACAAGCCACAGTGTACCCTAGCATAATATTGATCGAACTAAAGTAATCTCTATTGCATGCTCACTGATATCAAATTACTTTGTCTGATTGTTGTACATTGGCTGCACTATTAAGGTGATCATATTTGAGTGTAACATACGTTTATGGGCTTTAATATGTTACAATAAGGATCAAATTGCTATAGTTGTCGGATGCACAAAGAGATGGAATGTAGCATGCAAAGTGCGTGTATCGTTAGCAAGGAAACGGATCCGCGTATGATCGCGATATTACTGTTTGTAATTTTCATTGTTTTCTTTAATGACATACAAAATTGGGATATTAATTCAGAGCATTAAAATAGAATCGCTTAAAATATATAAATTACTATAATACATTAAATTTAATGCGTCTCTGTATAAAAAATGAAATGAAATTGATAGTTATAATTGGTTTTATTACGAGCAAAGTTTAATATGAACATATGCGGTGTAGTAGAAAATAATTAGAAACACATTCGCTATACATATATAAACCCTATCTTATTGTTTTAGTGCTGTGTTACCTTCCTGTAGCTCTCAGTGGGAATGTAATTAACCTAGCATAATGGCCAGTTATTAAGCAATTTCTAGACTAACATGGCAGATGTCTGATATAACTACCTTTTAGGTATACGAGTATAGTTAGATATGTGCCTTGAACCCGTACAAGGAGTCTGTTTTGAATGCAAACAACGTATGACGATTGTCAGTTTACATTTTCCCGCTCTGCTATTTTGTTTAATACTATGGTGATATGAATATTTGTGACTAACATTTAACTAAAAGCGAGGAGATTTATTATAGAAACTTGACCTCGGCTCGTGCAACACGTGCTTTAAATAGAAATAAGTCGATATGTATGGATTATGTTTATGAATTTAGGTATATCTTATGCAAAATTATATTTAAATGTCAACATATGTAATGAGACGAAACATTAGAAATTTTATTTTATGTCATATTATATTGAGTCCAAATTAGATTGGTAGTTAGATTTGGGTTACATACATTTCAATTTAAATTGAATCTAGTATAAGCAATGTCAATGAGACACAAAACATACTAATCAAATTCATGATATATTTAGCACAAATAATGAATGTCTCAGATCATGCATTAGGTAATAACCAGTGTATGAAGGCTTCTCAATGACCTAATTACGGACTAAATCTGTCGGTATGCGGGCTAAAGTTAATGCATTTTATATTGGTTCAATTGCAAGCAGCGCCGTCTTGGTATGTTTGCTGTGTGGGCGATTCTTAGAACTTATTAGGGACACTGGGAATTAGCACGCAGACACTGCACTTGGCTGACATGACCTTTACCAGACATAAAAAATTTGGGGATTCGTCATATAAATGTAATTTACTTTTGTAAGAAGTACTATCAATGCGCTCTTATAATATTATTTATGTCATTATCCGGCAATTAGATTGAAATAGCTATATATAGAAATATTCTGTAAGGATCTATACCCAATGTAAAATTTTGAAAACTTTTATATGCAAATAAAAATATGAAGAGGATCAGGTCATGCCTTATAGTTGGTGCCGGCGGGCAATGATATCGTGCGTTTAGGCCACATGCCGCCAACTTCCACGGAAGGCGATGAATAACTCATTGTCCATCCGTCCGACAATCGTGACGCACGTTTCTTAGAAACAGCAATGCAATGCAGAAAGTGACCGAGATACAGTTGACCCGCGAAATGCACACATATGAAAGTGCATTTCGCACGAGAAACAATAAAATTGTCCGGTTTTCCACTCGGAAAACGTTGGGATAGGTGTGAACTGCGTGATTGTTGCATATTCATTTTAAATAAACGGTAACTATACACATTATTTCGACCATTCTTCCTTAAAACGTTACTTGCAATATTCTTGTATTAAAACATTAGCACGTATCTCTTGTATTTGGGATTTCAATGTGAGACATTGCAAAGCATCGTTCCCACCAAATGTGTACAAATGTAGTCTCGGAGTGCATCGATGCAGTAATTAGGATGCGTCGAAGGTTCACTTTACGCATGTCGGCTTCGGCAACCAAACGGCTAAATATTCGCACAGTCCATTGTGATACCATTTTATGGCCTCGGCCGCCTTTATACTTCTTACTTAGCATTCCAAATTAGTTTGCACACGTTTTTTATGAAGCTTTAATGTCATGTCACAGTAATAAAGTCGAAACGTTAGAACCGAGCCAAACTGCTACGATTGTTAACCTCTTGTTAAGGTGTCTGCGAATATTACTTTTATTTATGGTGTCGTGAGTCTCGATTTACTGTTACTTTTACTAATTTTTAATGTTTAAGCCAGTTTAATTGTGTAACCGACTGTTTCTCTGGAATTTCTTCTTATAAAATTTAAATATGTAGATAGTTTAATAATATAATTTGTTGTTTGTGACAGGTAAATCGGCCTTTGACAATGAAGAAGGAAGGAATACAGACTCGGAACAGGAAGCTGAGTAGTAAAAGTAAGAAGAAGAAAGGGGGGATGGGTATGGGAGGTGGTGGGGCGTGCGCGCTTGCGCTTGGCGGCGTCATGGGAGACATGATCAAACCACTCGGAGACGCCACTAAGGGCTTCGGTGGTTCCGCCTTCCCCTCGGCTATGGATTTCGGTAAATAAATGTGATATTGCTTCTTAGAACGAAATTTATACAGAAATATGATTTTGATGTCTCTATTGTAATTGTTCATTGGTTTTTAGTGTTAATAATTATTTATGTTCGCATTTATTTGCTCGAAATTTCATTTCTGCTTGTTGTATGGAATATTTTTATGTTTTGTTTGTTTATGTAATTAATGCTGTGATATTTTTGATGCTCATCAAAGGTATGTTTGCAGGCCAGCACCAAGTAGGGCTGGTACATCCAGCGGCGGCGCATATGTCCCATTGGTACGGAGCACCCCACCAGGGCTTTGCCCCACCACCGGCCTCGCATAATCCCTACCACCATCATCATCTCGCGCAACTAAACTCTATGGTAAGTATTCGATTGACTGAGTCTACTTGTAGCTTTTAAGTTGTAAGCGATAACTAACATATATCAGAACATAATGAATATTTTTTTTCCACAGACTGGCTGGAGGAGTGAGTACACGTGATAAGTGAACCAACGAGAGTATAATTTGTATGTCGGAGATGAATGTACCGTCCGCGAGGGCGACTAACATCACAATAGATACTGTGATTTCACCTGTAGTATAAACAAAATAGTTCATAATCACTTCACGTCACACTAATTTATAAGACTGTTTAACAGAATTGATGTACACCCTGAATTGATGAACATATCTGAATCTAAGCCAGTGTTTCTCCAGATCAGACTTTTATATTCTTGGATTTATTCCCCTCGAGTATTATTGGAGCTGCGTCACACTATGCTACCAGCACGTTCGAACATTTTTATTCTAAGATATAAAAAATGTCGTTTAGAATACGTTAGAGCGGTAGTCGAGTGTGGCTCGCTACATTTACAAGTAACTAGAGAAATTGTACAGTATTATAATATTAGTTAAGGTCAGTTACTATGTCCGCTTAGATGATTTATACAAATATATGAGTAGCTACTGTTCGTAAAGGATTTTTTTTATTTTGTAAATATTTATTAAGTTATATTCCGTTCCTGTATAGATTGTTTTTTTTTTGTTTCTTATATTTAATTTGAACTCTTCAGTTCGCTATAGGAATTGTGATGTGTTCAAAAAGATATTCCAGATGTTTCTTTTGTAAATTCGATTCGATGTAGATTTTATTAAAATGCAATAGTAATTTATATAGTAGATGTAATTCAAGCGAGTTGTAAATAAATTTACTATAAAATAATTGTCAGCGGATATCAACGCGGAATATATTAAAACGATCAGGTCACGAGATTGGTTAATGATTGAAACTTTTTTCTAAATGTTGATTGGACATCAAATATCACATAAATATTTTGTATTGCTATAACTATAAAATTAAGATATTGTGTGGCCATAAATTTAATGAGCTCTTGTTTTTATAGTTGCCAATAGAAATTAAAGTACAATGTGCACAACAATTGGCATCTTTAGAAACATTATCTCAAAATTCCAGATTATTTGTAAATATAAAGAAAATGTAAATGACCTTAGAAAATATAAAGTATCAAAATAATATGTAAATTAGTGATCACGGCAGAAAATAAAACCTGTAACGATATCCCGTACCTAAAATTTTTAGTTTTTAAAAACAAAACATTGTGAAGTTGTGTATTTTAAATAAAATTGCGAATAAATTATCAATACTAATTGATATTACAAAACGGATTTTTATTTGTCGCAACCTGAATTTTAGATTTTCATCCATTATAATTAATAGGTTATTATCGATCTACTTACTAACCTAAACCCAAGAAATATTTTAATAAATACCTCATATAAAAAGTGCAATAAAAGATTTACCCTCAGATAAAGCTTGTACTGTATTGATATTCAATAGCCAGTTTTACGGTCAAGCAAATTGATATCCCATAGAATACATTTTCACTGTGAGAGAATCAAATTAGAAACTGATTCAATTGACCGTTCTTACTTTCGCATAAGTCACCGGCTCAATTCCACCATTCTAGAAAAACGTCCAAAACTCACGCTTATCTCGTGGCAAATTGAAAATGCAGCCGGCCGTATGATTGTGCCGCAACCGGGACGCTGCCAGCGACATATGGACCTATTCAATTTTAATCGCATTTCAGAAGAAAGGACATCGGATAAAGTACCTATAAAATGCTCCCCGACTTACTTAATTCTGGTTTTATTTGCGGTTTTGCTGTTACGAATCAAGGGTGCGTTATTGTTGTCAACAATTAATGTTTGCAGTTGATCTTTTTAGTTGCTTGTTAGTTTCTATGCGGTTACGCTTCAATTGAGATGTGGTTTGAGATTTCCAGCTGAATTATTTTATCCAATATTTTTTTCTTCTAAGACCCTAAGAATAACATTGTAACAGGGATCGGATTTATTTTTATTCATACCATGCCTACAAATATTGTAAAGATTCCCATATATAAGTCGTTATAAATGCAACGCTGCTGTTTGTGGATACAAATATAAAGTACAAACTTAAAGCAAATAAAACAAATAATATACCTTTCAAAAATGGCTCGCTTATTTTAAGCGGGACTCGAGACAACCGCATAAGTCACTACGTACCGGCCGGTGATATATGCAGCACTAGCGCGGGAAAAAATGTCGTGCAACAAAAAGCACGCCATCACTCCGGTGGATTTATTGCGTGCGGCAACACCGCGGAATATTCGAAGCTCAACGGTCCCATATTCTTACACCTAACCGAGAATGTACCCCCCGATGTGACGGAACTTAGCACTTCGCTAAATTACGACTGTAAAACTCTTGTATTTCCTTCCAACAAAGGTTCCTTCGTTTATTTGAACGTGTAACTCGAGCCTAAATTGAATTAAGATAAGAGCATTGAATAATGTGTTGACGATTTAATAATGACAGAAGTTATATGATTACAGCAATAATCGCACTACATAAATATATAAAACGAATGAGGAGATAAAATTATGATTGCAATTCCCTTTTTTCGAGTCTCCAAACACCATTGAAACATGCTCCAACTTTATAAATCAAGGTGGCCAATATCCACTATGATTCAAAAGTGTTTGGGAATTCGGGACAAATCCCTTTAGAGTCAGTCATAGTTCAGCGGTTCGTAAGTAAAGAATCGTCTACACACCAATGCCCGCGACTATCCACTTGATCCGGGAATCAATCTTGGACTTACCCCGGCTTATCTTTTGACCCCGCGCCTTGCGAATGTCAAGGAGTATTTGAGATACTTCGGATTTTATGTTACAGTGAAACGTACTATTTTATAGTTTTCATAAATAAGCCACATTTTTGTATGAAATAAAATTTTAATTTGTTAGACAGATTGTGATCTACATAGTATAGAACATAAATACAATAAGTAAGTTAAGTAAGATAAGTTTCAATTATTCAATTAGGTAATATAAATTTAGAGTTCTATAAACAATGTAGTTTGTTAAAATACTTATATCTAAAAAATAACGATACAAATCATATATTAACTTGTCATAAATAAAAATATTTGATCATTTGAATCACTTGCATTTGAATCACACTTGTCTTTTTTCAATCTTAGAAGGTTGATATGATGTTGAAGTTTTCATTTGGACATATATTATGGTTAACAAATTCAGTGTACAGGATTGTCCGATATAAAAAATGCTGTATTATCTGCAATTCTCTCATGTAGATGTTCATAAGCAAATTAATCTTAGCCCCTAATTTAATTTATAAAAATATTCCAAGGGTTTTTTTTATATTCTTAAAATATTTAATATTCTATTACTCTTATTTTTACAAACAAACTTATAATGATGGAGTGGCTAAGTATTTAAAATATTACAATATTAAAAATATATTTGGAAAATATTGTCTGCTGAACTAACAATTAACTATTTGTCTACAAAAAAAGAGCTATTCAGCTTAGTCGCAGTCACGAGCACAGCTTGACATACCTAACATTATACAACGTTTACAGATTTGCATTTTTTTCGTTACAGTAGAAAAAAAAAAGAAAAATTAATACAAAATTATACTAAAAGAATGGTACAAATATGATAAAAACGAAGCAAATATGTATTAAATGATATTGAACATAAAATGTGAAAAGCTTTTTTATTTGTAGTTTAGACCAATTTGGCCATAATTCTTAATTGGTCTGTAATTTTTTTTTAATATAATGTAGGTATATACTATATCCAAAAACTGAAGCAATTGAAATTATGGAATACTAATTTTAGTAACCGAACTTATTAATATTCGACAGTGTACCCTAAATGGACTACATATATTTTAATTTGTAATTAACATTTTATGACAGTTAGCTAGTTTTTGTTACTCAGTAATTCTGGAGCAAAAATATTCACCACAATTAACATCCTTGTTCATGGAATTGCCAGAATAATTTAAACAAATAAAAATAATATAACAAATTTAAAATTATAATTTCAGTAATAATAAGTATATGTACAGTTTAATGGATTTAAAGTTTTAGAATCATATTACACAACAATAAACTAATAGTACTTTTTTTTTGATCTGATCGAACTGTCGGAGCCGATCAAGCAATCAGTTGAGTGGTATTGCAATTTGACTAATCATTACAGCATGATATCATTAGACGGATATCAATTACTAACAGGTTTTGAAATAAATATACTTTTAAATCATGCTTTATAATCATTCAAATTTATATTATTTTTACGAAAATAAAGACGATTTCTCATAGTATGTTTATTCGTTGCAACCGACGACAATTTCATAAATTTAATTGATTACGGTTTAATTAGTGCAACAGACTGAATAAAATTAATTAAAAATGTGTGTCACATAAAAAAATCAAATACATGTACGTGTAATTCCTGACATATACACGATTCAGGACAGTCAGAATGTGAGTCTTGGATATCTGTAACCTAATAGCCCTCACTACACCTGCCCGCCTCCCTCGCATTAATATTATAATTTATACAGAGAAAACGACCCTTAATGCATTCTAAAGAACTCATGTAATTATTATTTGGTGCAAACGTATTGAATTTTAAGTCGAATATTGGGGAAAATAATCTTTTTGTCTGTATGCTAATTATAAGTAACGGACAAGAAAGCAGGTGAACATGTAAAAAGAGAGGGAATGTCGTACAAAGACAAGATTTATTTATTTATTGTCTCTCTTTGGATAACCGTCGAAACAATTGTGATAAACATACATGTATAATTATATCGAAGGCTATTTTTTGCTGATGTTTGAAGAGAAATAATTAATACCCAAATCATGTTATATACACAAATATATTTACCAAAGTAGGAGTTCATTAAGAATACACCTATTCTAATATTAATTTTAACTTGGTACTATTATATTTGCTTCCTCTTTAGTAAAATATTTGATGATTTATATCGATGGCAATATCATTTAAATTGGCATTTAAAGGCAGCTTAATGGCATATAAAATATTTCTAAATAAAACTAACTTTATGAGTACTTGCATTCTTTACGTCCATAAACAAATAAATTCTTAATAAATGTTAATATTATTGAGTCACATATATTTATTATTTAGGTTTATTAAAAAGCTAAATAAAGTTCATACCCCTATATACATATATGTATATATATTCCCCAAAGTGACTAAATATTAGGTATCTGCGAATGGAATTCTAAGTCATATATATAACAGTTCATTAATAAATTTGTAGATTTTCTAAATATTTTTTTATACATCGCTTGGTCCAAAAAATAATTTAAATTTTACCCAACCAGGAATATATCTTTGATATCCTTAACCAGCCGTACATCAAACCACAACTTTGAGACAATCTATCAACAATTTATTGCTACGATTTATACTATGGTCCTGTGAAACTATAAACATTGTATATTTTTATTATAGAATTATCAGCACATATAAAACGCATTAAGAGGGTTCCGTAGTAAAGTCAACACTGTAATTTAATTATACTGACCATATATTATTAAGAAACTCGAGATCTAGTACTAAAATCTTAATTTATGACGTCCTTATAGCTCACTGTTTTTATAAACTTCGATTATAGAAATTTTATAGTTCTGATTGTATCATGTTACCTTAAATTTTGAGTCATATCGTGTGTGTATCGAAATATTCTGTTAAACTAACTGACTGACTTAAGAGCGTTCATTTATAACAAAACTATCGCGAATCCCCTCATAGAAACAAAGGTGAGAAGCACCTGTGCCTAAAGCTGCATGATTTTATAGCCACCGATTGACTCTGAGTAATTTGAGCGGAAGTATAGACACGCACCTTTGCCCAACGGGTTCACTAATTACCAGGTTCTTGACTCCATTTCAAAAAGAATAGTGTTTTATAAATATTAAGAAAATTATTGAATTACATTTATAAATTGTATTAAGTGTGTAGGAATTTCATTATATGACATACTGCTTACAAGTTAAATCATAACAAAGAGTTACAAACGACATAGTTTTTAATATTTTTAGTAGCTGCAATTAAACTGGCCTTAATTTTGGACTAGAACGAAACCGAGATACCCAAAAAATAGTAGACACCATTGCAGTCTCTTCAGACAGATAAATCATACACAACTATATTAACTTTCTGTCCCTTTTCTTTGTTTTAATGAACTGTATATATGTACATATACTTATGTAGATACTACTCATATAACGTTAAAATTTTAAACAGACACTTATGTTTTCAAAACGTAAATTCCTTTACTGTATTCTTTGAAATATTCATACTCCTTATTTTATAAGAGGGGAAGTTGGATTCGTAACATTTTATACTACAGCAGTGTTATCCATTAAGCAGTATCAAAGTTCTTTGTTTTAAGCTATACTACAAATTAAGGATTAGTCCGCGCAATACGACATCTCAATAGAGTTCATAAGAAAGTAACTGTATGTACTTGAATACTTTAATTCCATAACGTTATATTTGTTCGTTAAGAACATGAAATGTGAAGAAAAGTATCATTTAGAATTATTATATTTTTAAAACACTTATTCTTCTTCCACCTGGAAATTTGCCAGCTTTAGCCAGGGTCTGCCTTACATGTTGTGAATAGTTTTGGCTAATTGTTTTTACGACCGGCCGCCTGCCTGACATCATTCATGAACTCTCTTTTTGGGAATGCATTAATCAGTGATGCCTAAATACTCTTAGAAAGTACATATGACTCGGAAAATTCGCATTGGTACTTGCCAGGATCGAACCCGCGTCCTCATGTATGAGAGGCGGGCCTTTTAACCACTAGGTCACCACTGACTTATACTTTTAAAATACGGACTGTAATAATTCTGTCATTATTGTTAACATAAAAAAGTGGTTCAAAAAATATATTATACAGTAAAGCTATTATTGAAAACAAGTAAAATAAAAAATAGTGCAATTTGTTTAAAATACCCTCTAATTGTCATTCTTGGACTGTCAGAAATTAGGATTTTTTTCTATTAATAATAAATAAATAAAAATAATTTAATAATAAAATGGTAATAATTATACTATA